AAGTTGATAATACTAATACTTTTCGGTACATGTCAGGCCCCCACTAGGCAGGAGAGCTTTGCCACTGGACACTTGACATTAAGGAACCCAAAAGTAGCGTCTCTCTGAGGACCTAACACCCTGTGCTGCAGCAAAGCACACCCTAAGGAAAGCTCTTCCTCTGAGCACTTTCTGGTTACTTGCCAGCCAGTGACAGGTTCATCAATAATGATAATGGCTTTTTGCCAAAGAAAACCAGTGCACTAAGCCACAGACTTGCTCAGCCCTATAAAGGAATCAAAGTAACCAGCATCCTCGTAAGGAAAGTGAGACAGGAACATGACTTCTAATGGGAAGAGCTGACTAACAAAAGAAATAGAAGGATTAAGCTCCCTTTGCTGAAAAGCAGAGGCAGGTATTCAACCAGTGAAGTCCATCACCTCCTTATCAATTGTGATAGCCCCAACTTCGCTCTACTTCACTGAAAAATCTATTGGCTGCAGGTGATGACACAGCAGCTCAGATCTCATTTGTGACAAATGGAGCATACTGCAGCTGCCTCTGCAAATACTATCAATAATGAAAATTTGTATTAAGGTTGCACCCAAACCCCAGTATCCTGGGTAGGTTTCACATGCTTAAAGCCAGCGGCAGCTTTGCTGAAGACTGTTGGCAAGGAGAGAGAAAACCCGTTGCTACAAGAACAAAAACATATACACAAGAATTCAGGTACACCTAGGTTTCCTACTTTTCTGCATGGGAATCGAAAGGGGCAGATTTGGGGGATTTTCCCTATTCAGTACATATTCACACTTCTGATTATCCTCTCAGTCATTAAACCAGTTATAAATCAACCAGAAAGCTCTGCTGAGCCCCTTGGGAAGAGGGCTTATTTGCTATACATTTCACCTATGTGTACATGGGAAGTCTAACACATCTCAGATGTACCTGTATGAGCCATCTTCACTGACACATCTGGTACATGTATTTCCCAGGCATATATTTCTGCCTGGAAAATAACACAGAGGGACTGATTAGCTCCAGTTTAAAGGAACTAGGTAAAAGTGCTTTGATGTGAAATGCATGTGCCTGTGACAGACACCAGAGAGACAGACAGGAGAAGGGATGTAGGAAAACAGAGACAGGCAGAGAGAGGCAAAGAGAGAGATAGAGAAATCAAGTGAGAAGGGCAGCAGAAAGAAACAAAAAGAAAAAAAGAGAAGAAAGGGCAAAGCAGAGGATGGAGCAGGGGGTACAAAGAGAGGGGTCTTTGTGAGCACAGGTGACAAAGAAGGGTCAGACAGGTGGGACATGGGAAGTGGGAAAAGAAAGAAGGATAGAACTTTGGGGAAAGGGAGCTGGAGGAACAGGGAATGAGGGTATGGTTGGACAGAGGCAAGACACAGGGTCATGGGGGGCAGGAGGCCACAGAGAATATAAACTGAAACACATAGAAGCAGGAGCAAAGTGTGACACATGGAAATTGTCTGGTGTAACAGCCCAGGCATGGAGATGAACCTCTTTTGGGCAGCTGAAACAGGTAAGGTGCAAACAGCAATACAATTAACTCTGGCTGCTCAAGCACTCCCGATTCTGACAAGAAGCTAGCGCTTCCTTTCAAAATACATGTAACACCAAGAACATACATGACTCCATTACACATCACCTTGTCCTAAAAGGAAAACTATACCCAATTGTGCTTACTTGATGAGATTTGAACAAATAAAGAACTTAACCTGGACCGGAGACCTATTTGTATTAAAGTAGCAAAGATGCTGGATTCATGATACTACATTAACACAGGTGTAAGACAACCACCGCACTCAAGCCTGGGATCCAAAAACCGGAAAGGGTTTGGCTGGACAATGAATGTTGGCAAGATCAACACAGCTTTTGGGGTTTTTTAAGTGACATTTTAAAACTGATCTTTAGACATTTTAAGACAGAAGTAAAGCAGAAGCATGGAAGGGATGAGGCAGTGAGTAAGGGTAAAGGCAATAAAAACAGGGATGGTCACTCCACATTACTTACTGGACCCTGACATTTGAAACACACCACAGCAGAGGTAAGGCATCTTGCTCTGCACACAACAACAATAAGGGTACAACCAAGTTATGGTGCTAAACTGGTGGCGCTTGTGTATGGAGCAACCACCTCTGATTAAAACTGAGAGAAAGATGCTCCTAATCCCACACTACACCTACTCAGCAGGCTAATGGTGCCTTCAACAACGTCTGCCATTCCCGTGGTTGGTCTAATTTGTAATTATCAGTCCATTCTGCCTCTGCATTACATTTAGGAAAATAGAACCGTGCCAAGCAAATGCCAAGCTTTCAAGAAAGCTGCAGTGTGTGTCAGCCACACAAATATAAACCCCACAAAGCAGGTATAGTGCAATTACACAAACCCCAAGCATGGGAAGCCCATGCAACTTCAGGATCGTATTTAAACCTGATTTGAATATGCTAATATCCTTAACTTGGCCCCGATGAAATATCAGCAGAAAAGTGGGTAAAAACACATGAAAAAACCCCACAGAAGTGTTTTACAAAGCAATCTGCTCCAATCTGAGACCACAAATGCTGGAACACTGCAATTACAGTGAGATGAGTCTGCAATCATTTTTCAGGACTATTGATGGTGACAGCACAGAAATTTAACCTCTACCCTTTAGAATAGTAACAAAAAGACAGCTGTATAAAGGATTTGAGAGCATTAATACTATTTCAGTTAAATGATCTGTTTACAGAATCATAGAATAGTTAGGGTTGGAAAGGACCTTAAGATCATCCAGTTCCAACCCCCCTGCCCTGGACAGGGACACCTCCCACTAAACCATGGCAGGACCAAGTTAAGGGTGGCGATATCAGAGTAAATACTGTGACAACACAAACATCTTGCAACAACTCTGGTTCTCATTGCCTTCAAGTTAAACATCCAGACTAAAATAAAAAAGGGTGAACCCTTTAACTCCTCATGTACTGAAACCACAACCTGATAAGCAGATACATCAGAGCCGTGCCTCCAGGGAAGCCGCCTTCATTTTGCAGGTAGAACAGTGAGACTGATCATGAAGTAAGCCACTTGTCAAACCACACACATCAGTTCAAGAGTGGATGAAGGCACCCTATGAGGAGTTTTTATGGCTCACAGCTGGACAAGGGGGGTCAAGCAGACTTGACTGAGTCTAGAGAAGCCACAGCCTCAACCACTCCTCTCCACCAGTCTGCTAACCTTCTACCACTCACATGCTCTACTTTTCCTCAGTGCTACTCCCTTTATCTTATCTGGCTCCTACCACAACAGTATCTTTAATTTGCTTCTAGATCCTGATTGTCATTACCTTCAGCCCCACTGATGCACAGGACTTGTGCATCCTCTCCTCTTCCTGGAGCATGAATTGACCTTCACAAGATTTCTCATACAAAGACTGTTTCTTCTTTATTGAGCCTGAGGATTGAAATACACAAATACATGTAAGCTGCAAGTAGGGCTTAGGCCACCCTACATCATATGCTGAGCAATGTTCTTCTTGTGATTAACTGAAGAGGGCTACTTTGGAAAGACCTATGCAATTGTTCCTTCATGCAGCATCTTAAACTTAATGGCCTCCTTTACTCTGCAATACTTCCCATTCTCCTAAAGATAGAGGGGGTGAAGGAAGAAATAGCCCTAGCTTGCTTGTCCTGCTCTGCAGTTCCTTAGTAACCTGAGGGAGCCCAGATCTTTTTACCCTATGGCAGCACCTAACCTTGAGAAAATAATTCCAGCTAAGAGCAAAGAGACATCGGTGCCGTCACAAGCTGCACAGCTCAGATACTGGTTATCTGCTAGGAATATTTTGGTACCTTATTTTCCCTGGTTGTAAACTAAATATAAACTAGTAACAGATTTCATATAGGCATCTAAAACTTACTGCACTCACGTTCGCAAATGCTCCAAATGCACCTTTCTGGAAATGGCCTAAGGAGAAGCAAAGCATCCATATTTTAGTAAGTTTGACTGGTGCACCTAGCTGTCATTTTTGTTCCTGATTAGTGGCAACAGGCAGTTTGCCATTTATTTCTAAGCAGCTGCTAGAGAAGAGCTGCAGGCGGATGTAATCTGGAAACTGCAGACTCTGCTCCCTGTCAATTTCACACCAACTTTCTTCAATTCCCATTTATTATTAATCTGTATTTATATCTAACTCCAGCTCTTAGCCTTTGCCAGAGGCTTAACCATTAGAGGTGACTGTAAGGAAGGAGAGGAAAGAAGAAACTGCCATAAATCAGGCTTTTACCACTCCATATAATTCTGGGGAGGTGAGAAATCACGCAAAGCTTGGGCTATTTAGGAAGACAACACCCTGCACAGCACATCAGACCAGGACAAGTCTCCTTTATCCTCACTACTAAATATGAAAAGGAAACATCCCTTCCTTCTAACCATTTTCAGTTCCTACTTTTTACAGGACTTGATATCCCTTTTAAATTTCAATCTATTGTAATTCAGAGGGTGTTTCTTATATTTTCATATTTTCTCAATCTGCTAAGCCCTCAGGCTTATGTTCCAAATAAGCATTTTATAAAAACATTTTTTTCCACCAGATTTCAATGTCTTTTAATTGAAAAGACCACACTCAATTATGGAAAGAGAAACAGATTCACTTCATCCTCTCCAAAGTAAACAATTTTAAGCAGCAGAATTAATACCACTTGTTTTCTCCTCATGATTTTCTTTCTAAGGCTTAGTCTTTTTTCATCTCTTTCCCTTGCCTACTTCTTTTATCCCTTTTGAATAGGGCTGAACAGTATGTTCCAGGTGAAACACAACTATTCATTTAGTGAAGGCATTCTACTATTTTCCAGACAGTTCCTTACCCATTCTTACATTTTACTTGCTTGTTTGTTCACTTTACTGTAATTAAGAAGTCCACTCAGTGTCATCTCTCCTTCAGAGAACGCATGATGTATGTAATTCATTGCAAAGACTGTCCATAAGTTTTCCAAAATGGAGACAAAGATGTCATATATATGTGCTGTGTATGATAAAGTTTCCCACAGCAGTGTGAGAGGCATTCAATTTATTGCACGCTTTCCCCAAATGTTCCCATATATCCACAAGGCCTGCAATCCTAAGAAACACTCTAGGTTTCTGATTAGAAAGTTTTGGGAATTTTTCCTTAAGTCTTTTCCAGCAAAAGTAGCTTCAGCAGCCTATATCATTTTATTCTGCTTGATATAAGCATTATTGTCTTTAAGCATCCAGTCGGAATAGGAATGTTGTTAGGAACTCTGAGAGGTCACCCTCCACTTCTTAAGTGTTCAGTCATAATGAAGGCTCTTCAGTGTTCCTCCTCCAAATCTTTTCCTTTCAGAGAAGCCAGGAATCTAGAGACATGAAAGACAAGTCATTATATCAGCATCAGCATGAGCTCCCTCTAGCCCACATCTCAGTGCCTGTTACCAAGCCAACTGCAAAAATGTCTTTCTTCCCCTTCCACACTGTCTCCAGAACCAGGACTAAGAAGCTTCAGCTTATGGCTAGAGGAGCACCATTAATTAAATAAGCTCCAAAACTTGAATATGGCTCATTTTTAATGTGGCTTTTTGGCAAGGGCCACAATGAAAGCCTTAATTTCTCAGGCAAATCCTAAACCAGTTAATTACAGATTTCAAAGTCCATTGTTTCTCCCCCAGATTTAAACGCAAACAAGAATTTCTCCTTTGTTAATTTTTACAACTATAAAACAGTATTCCCAAGTCTTATTGAAGAGCTGTTGAGACTTAACGCCTTCTAACCTGAAAGAGGAGCACTTCACTGGTAGTTTAAAGCAGTTTCAACAATTGCTGAAAGCTTTAAAACAACCATCATAATAGAAACGGCTACAAGGATGCAAGTGATTAGCAACCCTGCTTTTGCAGCCAAACTGGAGATGCTGCTTACACTGTATCAATGAGTGCTCACAAAGAAAAGCTCCTTCAAACCATCAGAAGCTTCTCTAGCTTAATGGTATTCCAAACAGATTTGCAATGCAGTGCACCCATGAATTACCCCAAAAGAAAGAGATCCACTGCTTTCTAATACTCTGTAAGATCTCTGTCTATTGGCATCATAAAACTATTTGATTACAGTCCGGGGAAACTTTTAGATAGCTAACTTCAAACAAGCACAAACAGCAGGCCCAGCCATCTCCCAAAACCATTCCACACTATTATAAGAAACACAGTATATGAAAATGGAAGGTGTCAACCAAGCACTACACATCATGCCAGGAGAACATGGCATTTACGGATGGTATGGGATGAATGTCTAACTTAGAATACAAAGCAGACTGCTTAAGTTACACACTTCATGGGTGAACTGAGAAAGCTAGAGCTTATCCAAAACGGAAATCCACTGACACCCCCCCCCCCCCCCAATTTACATGTAGTTGGGGTTTTCAGGCCCAAAATGCAAACAGATATGCAAGGTATTCATTCAGGAATGCAGTCACAACTAAATCATAGCATGACACCAGAGGTAAAACACCATCTGCTTTAGCATTTTTGATATCAAAGTCACTAATTAAGAATAACCATTATTTACTTATCAGAGATCTGATCAAAATCAGAGCTCCAATTTGAAACTTCTCATTCTTTTACTCCTAAAGAAGTCTACAGTAGAAATACCTCGAAACACAAGTGATCAAAGGGACCTACTGTAGAAGACCCACAAACACATTCATAAGATTTACATTAAGTAGATAACTTAAAACATAAACATCAAGAGGTTGTACTGAAATCCCTGGTTCCAATTTGGATTCTGTCTCTTTAAATAGAATTGTCCACTACTTAAGATTTGTTTTAAGCTTTTGAGCTGTTGTCAGTGAGGCAGATGAAAGCAGTCATCAGCAAGCTGTAATCTTTGACATGTGGCCATAACAAATATAAAGTTAATCCCTGGCTAGCCACTAAAAATGATTAAATAAGAAAAATAAAAACCTTACATCATGCATCAAGGACAACCAGCACACAAGCAGATTTCTAGCGTTAAGCTATTATCTCCATGGAAGGGAGAGACTTCCCTTCGTAAGAATGCAGGGAAGAGGGAAGAGAGGAGGAAAAAAGCATCATGCAGAACTGAAGGAGGAAAAAGCCAATTTGTTTTTAAAAGGCACAAAAAAAAAACACTTCAAAGAAAGTAAGCATTTTGTGACTATTTTTTCCTCCACTCTCCCTAAGGGGCTTTCAGCACAGCTACAGCTAACCATACATTTGACTGTATTTTAGTGGTGCTATTCACAGTAATTTGCAAGCACCTCACAGATACAGTAAGTGGAACCTCGCTACTCGCTGCAGGATAGACTGCACATGGGAAGGTGTGGAGCTAAAAAAGTTGAAGTGTGGCCTACCCAAACCAGAAGAGTCATTTTGCTGGTTCTTCACCAGCTGTACTGAAAACAGTTAATACGGCCATTTAGGGATTAACTACAAGGTGGTATCATACTGCTATTTCCCTTGTGGCTCCACTGGTTCTGTGAAAACTACCCATACAAAACCCATAAAATACTAGTTCCAGCTGTGCAAAAAAAGCCTTTTCGTTGACTTTCGGGGCAGCATCTCTGGCCTAAACCTGAAACCAAGCAGCCTGAAACTAAGACACCTGAAAGAAATCATATTTGCCTATTTTACCTTACCCTTCCAACTTCTCCTATGTTAGCATACTTAATTATTTCACTGCCAATCACATTAAAGACAAATACTTCAGCTGACAAAAGTCAGAGAATCATAGAATAGTTAGGGTTGGAAAGGACCTTAAGATCATCTAGTTCCAACCTCCCTGCCATGGGCAGGGACACCTCACACTAAACCAACCCAGCCTTGAACACTGCCAGGGTTGGCTCATTCACAGTTTCCCTGGGCAACCCATTCCAGTGCCTCACCACCCTTACAGTAAAGAACTTCTTCCTTATATCCAATCTAAACTTCCCCTGTTTAAGTTTTAACCCATTACCTCTTGTCCTATCACTACAGTCCCTAATGAAGAGTTCCTCCCCAGCATCCTCATAGGCCCCCTTCAGATACTGTAAGGCTGCTACGAGGTCTCCAAAGTCTGCCATTATTCTGTCTATCTAAAACAGCTGCGCTTCCACAGATTTAAAAACTCAATTACCAGCCCAGGTTATCACTTAAGCCATGCGAAGCCCATGTTTTAACAGGACTCTGACAACTGTTTTCATGACACAGGGAGAAACAAAAAAAGAGGAGGAAAAATGACAAACCTGATTGCCATCTCTTAAGAAGTATCTCTTCTCTATGACCTGAGAAAAACAGAGAATGACCTTAGTTGGCAGGCATATGCATAGCCTCAGATTCCAATCAACACTTCACATGTGAACACTGAAACTCACAGCTAACTGGGACAAGGTCTAAACCCACGTCACCTGCTCCAGGCCTATTGCTTTAAGTGCAATGCCCTATTACCCACAGAAGGAGTTGGCACCTCCAGCCATTCTTAGTAAAGCTGTGTTATTCTCAACTCAAACACGCCTCATTTAGTTAGACCACTTAGTAACAGAGGTGATGGTTGGGGTGCCTCCTTACTATATTATTCCAGTCCCTCTCTGCATGTGCAGCAGTTCTGACCACTTGAAAAAGCTCATTCTGCATGTACGTAACTTTAGGAGTTCTGAGTAGCCCCTGCGCATGGGTGATGCTTGAGAAGAAGTAGAAGGATACCTATGTAGGCGGTACCATCAATCTAAGAACCAAAAGGTTATTTGTATCACTGTACAATCCACACTCTCCTCCAAAGAAAATTCAAGCTAAATTTTCCTCTAAAGCATGATCTGTTACATGCATGATCTGCTTCACTATGGTATCTTTGTTGAGGGGATGCTTAAACCAAAGCATTCCTTCTATCACTTTCACTGTAGGCCTTGACACTCTCTTTTGCAGGAAGGGAGAGTAATATGCTTTAACCAGGATTAACAGAGCTAACCATAGTCTTGGAGCTCCCCACATTACTGCCTTAGCACACTGCAAACCCTCTGGCCTGCCAAAGGACTCCAAAAACCTACGCAGACTGCCTTTGAACATTATTTTTCATTGCTCTATGCAGATCAAGAATCAAATATTCAAGATATCTTCTGGATGTTTGTTAATGCAGACCAATCTCTGGCCTCCCCCAGCATACAATACATAGAACTATAAAGCGTAATTTAATTGACTTGACTTACCTTATCAAAAAACCTGCTTAGTTTGACAGCATTGGATGAACCTGCAGCCAGGTAACGAGGATTGGTGCAATCCTAGAACACATGAAAGACAACAAACCAAGCACAATGCAAGGAAGCCCTGCACATGGAAATCAACATACCCCTTCCCTGATACAGGCATATGGAGTCAGCCAGGGAAAACACAGTGTATCTGCTCATTTCTGCTCCAGAATCATTTGAGAGAAAAGGCCAACTTCTGTTCTGTGAATCAACCAGAGAATTCTAATCACCCCCTTATGTGCTCCACACGTTCCTTCTGCCACCAGCTATACAGTCAGCTAATCATTTGTACATGCTACACGAGATTGTGTGTGCTTGTGTGTGTGTGCATATACAAGCATTCACACAGCAAGTGTGTATATTTTTATATGCATATATATACATCTTATATATACACATGTATATAAAAATAAAATGATCTTGATGTTTCATTCAAAGATAGTCTGCATCAGAACTAAGTACAGGGAAGAGAAAACAACTCCCAGTCATCAATTCTAAGCTTTGGTGACTTTATCTAACACTCCCTACATCTCTAGTGAAACAAAGATGATAGCTTCATCAAGCAAGGGGGACAGCCTATCAAAATGTGCATGACTCCAGCATCACTGAGAAAATCCCCAAAAGCCCAATTTTTGTCACAACATCTTTACTTACTAAAAATCAGACTCCTGTATAAAAGAAAAACAACCCTTGTGACAAGGATACTAACCAAATTAATCTCTTCAGCGTTGAAATCCTCAGCCAAAAAAGCTGTTCTGGTCAAAACTTCATTCCGTTTAGTTTCTGGGATCTGATCCAGCTTAGTTCCTATTACCAGCAGTGGAATCTGGTTATCAGCAAACTGTTCACGGTCATAGTCCCTGATAAGGGAAACATACACTCCTGAATGAAGTGATGGTCATGCAAGTCGGCACGGGGGCACATTCAGCTCCCCTGCCCTTTCAAATAATGGTCACTTATTACGGGTCATTATTTATCTAAGTGAGAATGTGCTGCATCTGTAAATTTAAGAAGGGCTTTTGCATCTAGGTCACTACAGAGAAATTGAAAGGAAAGAGCAAAGAAACCACGAGTTGGATTTCTTTTCAACACAGATGAACTGCAGAACAAATGCTAACACAAGCAGGAAATAAACAGGAATTCCAGTATTGCACAAGGCATATGCAGGCATCGGAGACAGATGAGAGAGCTGGCATCTCTGAACATCTAAAGTTCCTACATACATACACACACTTTTTAAAGATGGACAATGAAATAAGAATGTGAAATAAATTGCAACTGTGAAACACCACCCCTTTTCCAGCTTAGATCAAAGAGGGCTGAAATAGCAATTGTCTGGTGTCAAGTAACTAATCCTACATTCAAGTAAAGGTAGCCACCATAAGCTGAATTCCAACAAGCTTTGATTCAGATACAAATAATGATCAAAGATAGCCTTTATAAAAGAAATAATTTTGCAATTAATTGTCTTCACAAATCCAAGCTCCAATCCTTCTCCTCAGCTAGGATCAGTGCTTGTCTTTACTTTTACCTAAACCAAGTTTTCAGAAAGTAATTTTACAACCAACAGCAACAACTTGTACTAATGGCTGAGCATCTGTCCCTGGCAGAGGTTCAGCTTTTGAGAATTAAAAAAATAGTGAAGAACCTGCACGTGGAAAACCTGGAGAAATCTGCAGGTTTTATAAGGCAAATACTCTTTTCCTTTTCCCATGTTTCTACCTGTGTATACCAGCACAGGCAGATAAGCAACTGATACTCTTCCCACAAAAAAGCTACCCCTTACTATTGCCTCCCTGCTCACACGTGAGGTTTATCAATGATCTTAAAACCTCCTTGATGGTATGTATAACAGGGGCATTGAGGTACAGGAGGAAATACTTGGTAAGAATTTTACAAGCAAATAGGCTGTTTAAGCAGTTTCCTAAGCAAACTTTTAGCCATACTCCTGAAGCAATTCCCTCATCACCCAAATAAAAAAAAGTGAAGTTCCTCAGTGCTGGTGCATGGAGGGAAAGCCTTTTGGAACAGAGGCATGCCATCCCATCACACTTCCTGTACAAGGGCTCTTCACAGTACAGAGACACATCTTCAGGCATCAGGGACTGGACCCACTCTGAGAGAGGCCTCAGATAAATGAAGGATGTATAATAACACCTCTTCCCTACCAGCAGAATGGTCTGATGGGTAACGTAAAAAAACCCAAAACAAAACAAAACCCAGAGATTTTCTTTTATATCCCCCATTTTATTCTTTCTTTCTTTAAGTCTAACCACATCCAATTTCATGTGGACTTCAAGCAGCCTCAGAGATGAACAAAGTCTTCCATAACAACTTGGAATGATGTTTTAACCCTGCACGTATGTTTTTCACTCACCCATTTGTCACGAGAACTCCTGTTGGAGCGATATCTCTGTTGAGTGCTTCCAAAGACCAGCGATACAAATTCTGGGATGATTTCTTATTGGTTAAGTCATGCACTAATATTATCCCTAAAGTGAAAGAGAAGGCAGCAAGATCCTATTTAGTGATATACATTTTTTCCTTATCTTACCCAAATGACATCTGTAGGTTCCCAGCTATCTGAGAATGAAGAAAGGGACGCATAACCGGTTCAGTTACAGTGAACGAGTAAAGCTGAAAATACCAGGATGCGACACGCTTTTAAAGCTGCTTATCAGGAATTCAGGAAGAGCTAAGAGAAAAATATCATAAAAGGAGGAAAGGGACAGACACCTCAAAGTTTAATCCACAAGATGCCTGTGGGTATTTCCTCATTCTGCTCTGTCTGGTCCTAATGATACTGAAACTCTGTATTACTGCAGCAGATAATTCAGCCTTTCTCTGGTTTACCTAACTGGTAAACACAACTATCTTTTTATTACACCATCCAAGAAGTCTAAAGGCTGTTTGTTTCAAAGAGTTTAGAGAGCATTGTTACATTCCTGCATTTTCAAGAACAATGCTATGTACCTGGGGAGGTATCCAAAGGTACCAGTCTCTGATAAACTTTCACTGTCCACCAAATGGCTGGTAGAAACATGAATTAATAAGATTTCATGTTTTTAAGATGAAGCTTCTAGCATTTTTCATTACCATGATCCTTCAGAATGTAAATTCTGAGAAACAGCCAGCCAAACTTCCTAGTTGTGCTATTAACAGACACCCACTTCTGATAACCACAGTTCTTAACTCAATTACCAACTCCTGCTAGTAAATTTCTTCTATTTATTCACACCTTCTATGACCTGTAGAATGTTCCCACTTCTTTTAGACTTTAAACTAACAATTCAAGGAAAAAAATGGAATTATAACCCTTATCTTCATCAGGATGCATTCTCAACACACTTCACAGCCTACATGTGGAGAAAAAGTATTAATTTTATCTTTCATCTGAACTCCCGAAGATGCCACCCACTGCACACACTATGGAAAAAAACCCACATTTCCACAAACATTTTCCACTACCCACTACCCCATACCACTGTGCACAGACTCTCCTATGAGAGTTCTGGGCATATCACAGCCATAGCTCTATTTCAAAGCATTTATCTCAGTAAGAGTGTAAAAAGGCAACTCAACTGTGTGTCCACTCCCAATGCAGGGAGAAAAAGTGAGATACAAGATGACTTGGCATACAGCAACAAATTCAGAGGCACTGCTGCACAACCTGTGAGAAACCCTCCCCACTTCCACTCTTCCTCAGTTATGTTTTGGATTGGTTAGTTCCCTTATCTGCTTCACTGAAAACCAAAAGAGTTAGTTGCACCAGCAGAAAAAAAACTGTGTCAACATCAAAAAAGAGCAGGCAGGACCAATGACTACCCAAGGAAATGTTCCTCCCCCATTAAGGTCTGCAATCCACAGCCTTAGTGTCCAGTCACTGTCCTAGACTACCACAGTCTGCACACCAGATGGGGGGTCACCAAAGCACAAGACCTGCAGTCAAACTAAAAGCAAACTACACCTAAGCTTGTCAACAACCAGGTCTCTGACAGCCTGCACAGATGCTGCCACAACCAAACATCAATTGCTTTTTGATCTCGGGTTTTCAGATCACTGCAAGGCCAGAAAGCACAAGCAGTCAGGCAGAGGGAACACATTCATCTTCTCTTCTTAAATCAGGTCAAACAGAGGCAATTTGTGAGACAAGCTCTAATGAAGAAATTAATCTAATGAAAGAAACCAGAGCCAAGACAAACTACCAAAGTCAACATTTTCCAAATGTGAGCTGCCTAATAATAACTTTGGGGCAGTGGAGATAAACAACCCTATTTTAATAACGTCATCAATCATAATTCAGACACGTAAGTTCAGGATTTCATCTCCTAATGGGTTCTTGTAGGGTATTCCCAAGTCTGACCCACGCTCACTGGCATGCTGTGAACTTGGTGTCAAAAAGAAATCCATCTTAAACATATACCAAAGAAGCTTGCTTTGAGAGCTCAACTTAACTCAGACCTTACTTACAGAGGTCTGGTTAACAGCATAAGCAAGAGGTACCTACACACATTTTTCCTCCTGAGAAAGGAGAAAGAAATAACTAGCTAAAGAGTCATAGAGCAAAGATGTTTATTGTATGGCTTAACACATTACTGAAAGACCCTTGAATGATTTGGAACAAGAAAAGAAAATCCAACAGAACATTTGAGACAGTTTTTCAGAAGCAGTTTTTAATCTTGTATACATCTATTTGTAATGAACAATCCCGGGATGCCCAAAAGTAACAACTGAAATACTGCTTTGTTATGTTTATAATCTCTTGCGTGCTCTTACTGCTGGTTCTGATGAACTACTCGGCCTTTAAGTCAGCATCTCAATAGAAGGCCTAAAAATACTACTTTCTATGTAGAGCAAGTTGCAAGATCCAATTCTGAAAGATAATTTGTCAAATGAAATAAACATGGCAAGATGGTTATTAGCATATTGCAATTTTATGGGACAATTCAGATTTGCCAGGGTAAGATATAATTATTGAAATTCATATAAATTCAAATAATTATTTTCCTGAGGCAGGTTTCGGAACTGAACAGACAAGAAAATATAAATCATATTTCTGCATGCATATCAGTCCTGGAAATGTGAAGAGAACCTTTATGCCTGCAAGCGTAGCTGTAAGGGACATCACTACAGCGTCAGTGAGTCCCTGCTGCACCAGCTGCACAAGACTGAAGCTAAAAGCTAATGAAGCTCATCTGCACAGGTCTGCCTAAAATAGCTTTCCAGTTCAAAACTGAATCCATCAAATTCTCCCTATGAATTGTATCATTTTTTTTTCTGTATGAATGCATTGAAATCAGAAAAGAGAACAACACTTAAAGGAATCCTGCCCCAGAACCAAGAGACAGCTCAACAGAAAGAGCGATAAAACCAGATTTACAGCAAGCAAACTTACCATTCAGCAAATTATAAAATACTGCTCGTGTGCTTTTCACACTAGTGGCACTACCCACAGAACCTCCAACATCCCACAGCTCAATGTAGTAGGTCTTCTCTTCTGGAGTCCCCTCTTTGTAGTCATGGATCTGATGACAAATTCACATCATACATAACCACAACAGCAGCTCACAGGAGTTAATACACAAAACACATGGGTAGTCAGCTGGAAGGATTATTGTACTTGGATAGAATCTTGTAAATGCTCATGTTGACACCATTTCAAATCTCTTAAATAGAAGAGGGATGGAATGAGTCAAGCAGTGGCCACTGGATACTACAGCTCCTGTATGAGGTGGAGCTTTGAGAATGTGCAGGGAATATCCTTTCTACCTCAGTATTAACAAACCTAATGCCTCCTGACGTGCTTAGAAATAGCGCATTGCTAAAGCAGATGAAAAAGTAAGGCCATGACTTCCTACATGGTAGTACTGCAAGAATATTAACATAGGGGCCCACACTGATTCCAACTGATCACATCTTCTTCCTCTCCAAATTCTCATTGACATCTCAACTGGGTTAATTTTTGCCCCTGCGTTAAGTTTTGCTCCACAGTCAAACAGGGTCACCATGTTTCTTCTCCCCAAATTTTGGAAATATATTCCTAACCTGTGGCTGCATATTTCAAGGAGAATATAGCAAAGAGCAATGAAGGAAAAAAAAACCATTTATTACTATCCCATGAGGATTGTAGGTTGGGCCAAAAGCTTGTTATATTAATATCCTCATTCCTCTGACAGCAGGTTCTGCAATGAGCACACAGGAGGAGAAGCAATCCTATGATCACAGCCAGCGCCCTCAAATTAAACAAGCAAATTTCTTTTCCCCAGCGTGTCTGGCTGACAGTTTGGCTGTGCATCGACTGCTTCTTACGGAAGCGTGGTTTCAGTTCTGTGCCTTCTGACTTCTAGAAGTCTGCTCCATGACTTGTAACATGCCAGGGACCACTGCAGTCAGGAGAGGTACTACAAATGACAAATATCCTGCCTGATTTTGACAGCCTAGTAAGGAGAAAACTTGCTCACGCAAGTGCTTGGCTCACATTTATTCCTGTTTGCTTCAACAAATTAAGCCCTCAGCAGAACAGAACATCAAAATACACCTTTTCCTGGAGCAGTAAATAATGAAAAGGTAAAAAAGTCAAGGCACTTCCCTTACACTTCAAGTTAGGGCTACCCAGAAGTCAGGCACATCACCTACTCGAACATCCACCGAGCAGCCCACCGTCCAGGATGGGTTTCCCAACACTTGGTTGTGGCATAAGAGGTGAACAAGCGAAGACTTCCCGACACCTGCAAGTGCACACAGAGAACAACTCCTGGGAGATCACACAAAGCCAGAGAAAACGCCAAAGAGCAGCTGGGCACAATCACAGAATCAGCTCGGTTGGAAAAGACCTTTAAGCTCATCAAGTCCAACCATTACCCCAGCACCGCCAAGGCCACCACTAACCCATGATACTGTGGGCCTCATCTACTTCCAGGGACGGTGACTGCAGCACTGCCCTGGGCAGCCTGTTCCAATGTCTGAGCACCCTCTAGGGAAGGGATTACTCCTGATCTCCAGTCTGAACCTCCCCTAATTCAGAAGTTCTAACTCAACTCAGCAACCGTTAACAGCCGCCTGTCAGTGACCAACCCTCAGGGCAAAGAGGGAAGGGGTCTCCCATGGCACACACACGGGGGCTCCCCCCGGCCGGTCTCCAGTCAGGAGGCGGCCAGGCAGGGCCGAGCGGATGAGGGGGGCGGCGCACCGCATATGCGCCTCCGGAGGCCGCCCCGTCCCGGCTCCTCGATAGCGGGGAAAGGGGCCGCCCCCCGCCCTCAGCGTGCGCGGGGAGCGACACTCACCGGAGTCGCCCAACACCAGCACCTTGACCCTGTCCAAGGCCGCCATCTTATCCCAGGCTGGCAACCACCCCGGACACCTCCGCCAATCGCAGCGCACGTTCCTGCCGCTTCCCTCAGCCTATTGGCTGGCTGCTCAAACTTTCACTTCTGATTGGTTCGACTCCAGTGATGGGCGGGAACCGCTCGCGGTGGGAGAGGGTTTGCGAGGCTCCGATTGGATGGTTTTCGTGTTGGTTCTACGGGCAGGGAGTGCGCGTCGCGTTGTGATGTCAGCTAGCGCGCGAGGCTCTGACGCCGGAAGCGTCGCTCAGAGCGGGCAGAGCCGCCGGCTGCTGCAGGTCAGTGCCGGCCCCGGGCAGCGGCCGACGTGACCCTCCTTCCCCTGCGGACACACAACGGTCCCGCTCCCGGCCGTCGGCGTCTCCTCGCTGGGCCGCGGCCTCCTGAGCCGCCATTTACGCGGTAGCGCTGGGGCAAACAGCCAAGCGCCCTCTCCCCCGCTCCTCCCCTCTTGGCCCCGCCGCGGTGGGCTGAGGCGGCTCCTCAGGAGCTCCCGGCTCGGCGCTCTGTGCCCCCCTTTCCCAGTTGTTTGGGGTTCGTGTTCTCGGGGTTCGTGTTCCCCGAGTGCTGTCTGGCTGGGCCGTTGCCCTCACAGCTCGCTTTGCCTCAGGCTCGGTGCCACCGTGTGCCCCTCCTCTGGCGTGGTTTGGAGGGTTTCCTTGATTGTTTGGGGTATTTGTTTTAGGGAATACTGTCTAAGCCCCTTTCCCTCTGTCTCCTACAGGAGCCTGCACGATTGAATGTTTAAACATGTAAAAGCGGGTATGGAATAGGAAGCTGTGCAGGTAGCATAAGGGCTTCTCTGCTTTGCTTGGCTTGAAAGATTAGTCTGCTACAACGATCTATGAAATCTGTGCAATTATAGTGTAGCCAGTAGGGCCAGGGCAGTGATCGTCCCCCTGTACTGGGCACTGGTGAGGCCCCACCTCGAATCTTGTGTTCACTTCTGGGCCTCTCATTACAAGGGAGACATTGAGGTGCTGGAGTGGGGCCAGAGAAGGGCAATGGAGCTGATGCAGGGCCTGGAGCACAAGTGTGATGGGGAACGGTTGAGGGACCTGGGAGGGGGTCAGTGTGGAGAAGAAAAGGCTCAGGCTGCCCAGGGCAGTGGTGGAGTCACCATCCTTGGAAGTGTTCACACATTGTGTAGACAAGGGCCTCGGTGACCATGGGTTAATGGTGGCCTTAGCAGGGCTGGGGTAAAGTTTGGACTTGATGAGCTTAAAGGTCTTTTCCAACTGAGTTGATTCTGTGATTTGTAATCTCAAGGAAGCTGCAAAATTAGGGGAATCTGGGTCATAACTGGCGCACTGTAACAAATGTAGCTCATCCCTTTTTTTTTCCAGGTTTGACCACTGGTTGAGCCCATATGGTGAAAGCATTCAGTTCTCCAGGTCAGCAAGGTATTTTTGTTTTAAGCATTAGCTTTCTTTTGGCTTCACGAGCTTGCTGCTTCCTTGTGAAGCAGATGAATGTCACATATAATGGCCCTGAGCTGTTAAATGGACCCAGCTGCCAAACTTGTATCCTTACAGGTGGTTCAGAAGGAAGATCAGCATTCTGAAAAAGGTGTTCAGCAGTGCATAGTTAAGGCACATTTTCACATAATACAGGTGGCATATTTTTCAGTTGCAAAAGGTGGAATTTTTTCTTTCATCTTTTCCCCTGCACTGGCATCCTCTCACATCTCTTGTTTCTCTTGCTCATCAGACTTTTCCGCTAGCTCATTAAACTGTCAAAAAAAAAACTAGTAAAAGGGGTAGTAGAAGAGGTACTTTTATGCCTTTTAGTGATGCAAATCGGTGCACAGGCAGGCCTTCTGAGTGCTAGAGCTGGCATGGGAGAGAGCAGAGGCGTGTGCTTGGGAGAGGAGGAAATACCTTTCTGGAAGCAATAAGGGATGATGGGAATTTCATTCCTACCTTCTACATCCTTTAAGATACCATTTACAGCTTGCTTTCACACAGGATGCTTTAGTGAATTCTTCACTAAACAAGAAACTGCATGAATGGTATCTTGTTACTTAGTTATCTGGTATTTTGTTACTTAGTTTTTCTGTTTCTTTATTGCTTAAATCCCTAGTGTATGCACTTGTTTGCTACACCCCGATGCACTAAAACATTTCTGAACCTAATACTTGCATAAATCTTCATCTGAAATTCCTGAAAATCAGACAGTAGCACTCATATCATCTATAATGATGAGAGGTGTGGTGGCCCAGGTCCCATTGAATGCAGCATATGACAAATAATTCTTTCTTTCTTCTTGTCAGAAACTTAACAAGGAATGCTGGGGTTAAGCCCAGTGTATTTTGGTGTAATCATGACTACCTGAAGCTTGATGTTTGTGACAAGTGCTCTTATTTCTTGTAATAGTTTCTGATTTCTATGGTTAAAATGTTCTAGTGGCTATACATCACAACTGAGTCACTTTAACATCTATGCCACCTCATGGAGAAAGCTCGCTCTTCCACACCCCAGCCATGCTTTCTTCTCTGTGTTTTGTGTAGGTTTTTCATTGGTCATGTGAGTGATCCAGTTTTTGAGCTTTCCCCCTTGCTCTCCCTCAAAAATACCCTATTTATTGCTTTTTGGCACATCAGTTTTTCACTTTTTACCAACTTAATTCACCTTTCAACATGAACAGGCAAGTGTCAAAATGAGCCCGGAATGGTGGGGGTTGTTGCTGGAGGCTGGGAAGGGAAAGAAAGATTTCTTGGTGGGAGGGAGGGTATAATTAGACTTAAGGTGGAACAGAAAACTGTACCTTCACTATTCTAGCCACTAAGTTTGGCCTTCCATATATAGTGCACTTGTAATTTTTTTGTCTACAACTGTAAATAGTTTGTTAATGCTAACATGTATTTGAAGGACTTCTGAGTACTGTATCTGTTTGTATACATGCACATAGATAGTCCTTTAATTTACTGACATCTTGCTATTTTCTAGGTCAGGTTTAGATTATGAATGTGACTGAGAATTAAATCCTGAGCCTGCATTGTTCAATTTCTGCCTTGCATGGGCAGACCGTGTGGCCTTATATGTGGTTCCATATATTTTTACTTGTGAAATTAGGTGAAAAATGTCCTAATTTCAGCTAGGCCCTTCAGCCTTTCTGTGTGCTGCTGTAGTTCAACTTTTCATCTTCAGTGAAGAAAACCCATTGATACTTGTGGCCTCTTGGTTTCACTTTATGGAATGCCAATAGGGAGGTACTATTTGAGTGAAAGCAATTTGTTCTTTTCTCCTTTAATACTTCAGAGCAGGTCTTGCAATGAAGATACATGACTTCTCGTGCAGATGGAAGGCTGAGCAGTAGTGTTCCTAAGTCACCAGGGAATGAAATTCCATAAGCTTCTGATAAAATGCCAGAAGACTTTGGGTTTGCAACTGATATGGGATAAAGGCAGTTCAGGATAATAGGGACATATTGCACAGATCACCCACTCTCTACAGAGAAAAATGAAAAAGCAGACTTGAAAATGGCAGATTCTGTGCCATTTCCCAGTTTCTGGAAAGGATGAGTAGTGTCTGAGGTTACATTGTACAGACATTTAAAATCTTGATAGCATGTTTTCCCACTATAGTTCTAAAATTTGTGCCTTCCTTCCCTGTAGTTGGGAAGATTTAGAATCATCCCTCAGCATAACCTCATCGTCTTCTGGAAGACAGAATTCTAGATTTTATTAGAGTGAGAGACTACAAAACTAGGATCTGGTGTTTGCAAGTAACTACTGAAGTGGGATATGGTATACACTGGCTCACAAGAGGCTGTTGTACTTGCCATGTTTACAAGCAAGGGACTCTTCTTACAACCTGATTTTGATTTTTCCTGAAGAAATTGTGTCAGTGGTATAAGCAATTAATTTTTTTTTCTTTTAAAGAAGTCTTATGGCGGAAGCCTGCACAAATGTTTTCCAGACAAATCACAGGATGGTTTGGGTTGGAAAAGACCTTAAGATCATCCAGTTCCAGCCCCCTGCCATGGGCAGGAATGTCTCACACTAGATCACCAAAATCCAGCCTGAAGATTTAGTGAAAAAGAGCACTAATGATTTAAATTAGATGTGGGGAAAAGGAGGAAGCACCTTTCCAGGATTTAACAGTATGTCTGATAGACCTAAGTTCCAAGCCAACCCTGCAACTCTCAGGTTTTCCTCCAAAAGAGCTCTGGAGCGTTAAAAAGGGTTTCTATACCAAAATGAGTGAAGAGGAGTCTGCTTCCTTTTTCCAGATTCTGCTCTTACACTGTTTTCATTGTCAAATGTATGAACAGTGAGACTTCATTAATTTGCTTGAGGTAAAATTACTAGTGGAATTAATATGAGCCTCAGAGTTATGTTAAAGTGATATTCATTTGGAGTATTAGGTAAAAATTCGGGTTAATTCACTGGCTGACTTATGCTTTCATAACTTGTAGTTCTAGTTTCATCTACTTTGTGCTTTCTAGGTATCACCTTTTTTAGGACTTTTTTGTCTTTCATCTCAGCTTTAGTCAGGAAAAGCAGGAAGCAAAACAGATTCAGTATCCTTAGCACAATTCCTGGTTGAGCTTGCAAAAGTATTCTTGAAGTCTTGGTACACAGAGAAGAAGAGTTGAGTTGCTTCGATGCTGCATCAGGAACGTCCTGACCAGTGGAGATGTTTGCTCAGTTGAATTTCTGGCTTCTAAATTGTCTTTGATCAGACTGAATGTGTTTTTGATGGTCACCTGCTCTCTCAGTTTCCTTTCTGGCATCTTAAGTTATGCCCAAGACCTGTGTGTATTTAGGCTTGCTGTCCTACTGCAATAACACAGGCAGATCTGTGTTCCCATAATATTTCATTGTATTCACTTATTTCCCCAGAACAGTTCCCCAACAGCTGTCTCTTAAACCCGTTCTTAAATATGGAAAATACTCCTTTTGGGTGTCTGAGTCTCATCCTTCTCAGTGTGCTTTATTATTGGTGCTGTAGGTGCTTACTGCGTTGTGGTGTATCTTGGCCATTGCTTTTCTTTTTCTGTTTTTTTTTTTTCCCTGACAATATCCCTTGATGTTCGTACATTATTAATGAAGTACAGACATTATTAGGAAACAGATGCAGGTCCATTAAAACCTTGTTAGAAGTTGTTATCATATTTCTTTGCACATGTAATTAATTCAGGCTTGACTTGCTGCTTTGATAGAAGGTGAAATCACTGCTCAAGGTTGCAGCGCTGAAGTCCTCTGCTTTTGAATTTTAAACTGATATTCTTGTGGCACTGGATTACAGCTTGTGAGCTGCATCACTGTCTTTCTTGCCTACTGAAAGGTAGTAAGGATTTGCAGTGCTTATGCTGTAGGCTGGGATTCTTCATGGGTCAGAAGTCAGCTTTTTCTAGAGAAACAGTGTTAGTCCCTGGCCTGGAGAGTTCTGGAAGTGCTTGTCTTGTGCCATCATTCTGTATTGTCTAGTTTACATGATCATCAAGAATGATGTTGCAAAACATGTCCTTCATCCAGCCATACAGATCTTGTTCGAACCCTTACTTTTGATCAGTCTGGCATTAGGCCTTAATGTAATATCAAAACTGGTGCTTGCTCAACATGTGTCCAAGCTTATTTTTAGAGCTAAGTTAGATGTGCTCAGCGCTGCTGCCTTTCATGTAACAAAGCTTGACAAGGGTGTTCTTTGGCTTTATTTCTTGATTTTATTTTTTTTTTCTTCTTTTCTGTCTTAAAGCTGACACTAGTTTCTTGGTTCTCTCACCCAATGGCTGTCTTCTTCAGGACTTAAAACTTAATCTGTGTTACTCCACTTTCTGAAGTGGAGATTAGTGGGAAAGAATGGTTTGTGGTGTTTCTAGAATGTTTGCATGTCCGTATGTCCATGCCTGGAAGAAAATCAGTGTTGCACTCAAGATGCCCACTATTACCTGAGGACATCACTAAAAATCTCTATTAAAGGAGGGGAAATAATTGTGTAAAAACTCCTGGTTTCACCTCTTTAGGTGAAAAAAAAATGTTTTCTAGAGATTGACACTAAGAAATATTATTAAACCTTTAATTATTGCTGAAAACCAAGGGGAAAGCATAGACTCTTAGAGGTGGTTTTACTTATTAGTCCCTTGTAAGCCTCAGCTGAAGCTGTTTGAGTACAATATTTGGGAAATTGTACTTTAAACCTGTTTTGAAAGTGCCTGTGGAAATCTGCAGCTGCCTTAGCAGTGAGATTCTTGGAGAGAAAACGCTTTCTCTTGGCTCTCAGGTGAGGTATCCAGGGTGAAATGTGCTTATTTAAAACCAGTTTTCAGTGAGTGCCCACTCACTGCAGGTTGCATTCCAGGGTTTTCTGCAAGGGAATTTCAGGGAACAGTGAGGAGAGAAGGGGTGAAGAACCTTTTCACTTTTAAAATCTCTCCTGGGGTGCTAGTTTTTATTTAAAATTGATCTTTACATTAGTGTTGTAATGTGCTTAAACTAAGTAATGTTTAATCAAATTCAAGCTTGTGGTCTGCTTCTGCATTGACATTGTTTTGTACTATCAGTATGTAGCTGACAGACAGTCAAAAGCAAGATTCATCTTTAAGTGACTGAAAGACTGTAATAATTCCAATGGAAACTGTTTTTCAAGGGCAGCATTCTGTGGTGGTGTTCAGATTGGGTCTGATTTACAAATTCAAAAGTACTAACTCATGATGGGGCATCCTTTATTGCTAATGCTTTTACCTTTAATGCAAACCCATCCTTTGTGTAAGAGAAATCATTATGTATCTGGCATGCAAAAGAAAGCTGACTGTAGAAGTACTTGTTTCACAGCTAATTCATTCCATAATAAACATACTTTAATTTCCTTGAAGGAAAGCTGGAGCTGGGCATCCAAGCAGTTTTCTGTAAGCTATACTCAGCCTGCACTCTAGCAGTCAGCAAATGTGCAGTCCCATTTCAATTTGAGCACTGTGAATACCATTTGACCCTAAGTTAGAGAAGAAGAAAAGCTCAAGCAGGAAAGCATTTTAAAAGAAGAGAGTGTGGGGTTTTTTCTTACCCAAAAGGCAGAAAAGACAGGACAATCCACAGCCTAATTGCTTTGCAGTTGTACTGTGCTAACTCATGAGAGGAACATACCACCTTAGTTGCAGAAGAGGGTCTGGAGAGTAATAAAGCTTCAGTGGGTAAGGTTGCTTAAAGTTTTTTGAGAGGGCAGTGTTTCTCATATGAAACCAAAAATATCCAAGCAGACAAATGTGATAAGTGATCACAGATTTTTGAGTAGTCTTAGCTGATGGAAGTGAGTCATCAGCTGCTTGGTTACATATAGAGCTTGGTGATTTCAGGGGGATGTCTTAGTGCGGGGAATATAGAAAAGTTCTGTTTGTCAGAAAAGATATTGCAGGTTTTATGATAAAGATTTAGAAAACAGGATACCCATTCAGATCCTTTCTTCTGCTGTCAGTCTCCTCTTTCCTTTGAGTCCTGAATGCTAGGGAGGTGCATATACAATGTGTGAAATATCTAATGATAGCAAAACTTGAGATTGGCAGAGTTTTGCTATTTATGGTATTGGTTCACAGATAAAAATTGCTTGGCAATGACGAACAAACAGAAATTAAGGTGTGGGGTTTTTCTTCAGTTGAAGGAACCTTTTGCTTAAGAAGTAGTTATTCATATCCTGAACTAGCATAGGAGTCTCATTGTAAAAAGCTGTTTCAAATTTTATTTGAAGTTAACTGGAAGTACAGCCCCCTGAAAGGGTATTTCAAAACCACATATAATACATCATGCTTATCTGAAACCTTTCATATATGAGAATCCTAGTGCATTATGAGCAGAGGAGAAATTTTATTACCTGCAGACTTGAAAGAGTGGAAGGGAAATATGCAAAGCCACTCTGTGAAATGACAGTGAGCCTTTGTTATGTGCCTTATGGTGTTGCTTTCCTTTCTCTCTCCAGTGGACAAAACTGGCTACTTCAAAAGAGTCACTGCTGTTACTTGCCTGCTGGGGTTTGATTTTTGGCTATGTCTGTGGCAGAGGTGACAATCTGAGGAATTCCTTGCATTATATGGTCCTGTATACGATCCAGTGTATGTCCCAGAAGCATATAATTTTTGTGACTATTTGTGCCATTTGATGTCAAGGTGAATTAAAATGAAGTGAAAATACAGTATTTAGAAATGACTGTCTTGTCACAGGCAACGTGGTGAGCCCTGGTAACTATCTCAAAGGATACTTCTGGAATATTATTTTTTTTTTAAACACATCATCTTTTCATGTTCATTAAGTCTTCATTTTTACTTCATTTATCATGCTGTATTATTCATGGGCTTCTTAAGGCCTAAATGTGAGACACTTCAAATGAAGGCTCAGTCCTTGTAAGGTCCTATTTGCTCATCTAAGATCAAGGCTAAAGCAGTCTGTGATACAGAAGTTGGCAGTGCTAACAGTTTTCATGCTGCAAATGCTTGACTAGGGTCCATTTATAAGAAAGTAGGGGAAAAGTCTATTTGTTTGCATTGTGCAGCTGGGGGCTTCTGTTTGAGTGCATACCAGCCTGTACTAGCAAGCTGTCCTCATGTAATATCTCTTCCCAGCGATGCCTGAGGAGTAGAACCAGGCAGAGCTACTTACAGTGTGACAAAGTGATGTCAACTGGGACCACAAGACTACTCCACTCTTGGGCTGTGTTAAGACCTCTCTTGCTGTAGCCTTTTTCAGCTTCTCCCAAGCTTCAAGTCTCAACTGATCATGAAGCTGTCTCCTGGAGCTTAGCTTCAAGACAGCTTTCTTATTCCAGCCCTGTTGGCTGTAACTGAGTAGAAATGAAATCTGCTGTATGTTATGGTAACAACTTCTTTTGGCTTTAAGTTTTCAATCATTTTGTTTGAATGAGAGGTACCATTTCCTAGTTCTACTTCTGTAGCAGTGTCATTAGTAATACCCAAGAAGACAGTGCAAGGCTTGGGAAAGAGAAATGGGAAGCACCCCATTATTTTCTTAGCTTTGAGATTAAACTTCTGAAGTCAGAAGACTACCTAAGAATCTGTCTGCCTTTTTTATTGCAGTATACATGAAGCTCAGGATCTGAACCTGCTATGACTGACCCAGACGTTCTCACTGAGGTCCCAGCAGCTCTCAAACGCCTTGCCAAATATGTGGTGCGTGGCTTTTATGGCATTGAACATGCTTTGGCTCTGGACATTCTCATCAGGAACCCCTGTGTGAAGGAAGAGGACATGTTAGAGCTCCTTAAGTTTGATAGGAAGCAGTTGCGGGCTGTCCTCAACACCCTCAAGGGTGACAAGTTCATCAAATGCAGGATGAGGGTAGAGACAGCTCCAGATGGCAAAACCACCCGTCATAACTACTACTTCATCAACTACCGCCTTCTGGTTAACGTGGTGAAGTACAAGCTAGACCACATGAGGAGGAGGATTGAGACAGATGAGAGAGACTCCACCAATCGTGCCTCTTTTAAATGTCCCATTTGCTTCAGCACCTTCACAGACTTGGAGGCCAACCAGCTGTTTGACCCCAGGACAGGTAAGAGTACAGGGAACAGGTAACAGAATGCTCTTGCTGTCTCCTTTGTAGCTGCTGGACTTGAAGGAAACAGGAAAATTCTCGAGTTTGTCCGGAGCTAGAGGGCACTCTGTTTCTGCAGGTGGTAAATGTTTCAACAAACCACAGACGTAATGTATACAGACTTAATCAGTCTGTACAGGCAAATAGCAGTGTTGCTAAAATGCTCAAGTGGCAAACAGTAGGGAAATGGAGGTCTTATCGCAACAGCCTTCAAAGGTGAATAAAGCAGTCTGTCCTTGTCAGAAGCTGAAGGTTTTTCAGTGTAACCTGCTCTTGCTTGTAAACTGTATGACTTGCCGGTAGTTTGCAGAGAGGGCATATGTTGAGTTGCCTTTGGTCTGCAAAAAGTTTAAATTTGGAGATGGTCATGCAAGGAATGAGTTGCTACTGTTTAATTTTCTTCTGTCCAGTTCATTTACACTGCACACCCTTGATTCTGCAGGGTAAGGCAGTCTCGTGGAAGTTAAAAGAAATTAATTAGACTTGTCTGTGGTTGAGAGTAAACAAGATTCTTTTTCCAGTCTGTGTGTCAGTCCCGGTGGAGCTGCAGATATGTCTCATGCATATGAAATAAGAATCTTTTCTGTGTGTTACTGTCTACCGGGGCTGTCCAAATACTCTGTGCTTTGTGCCAGGGAAGAAAAGGAGGAACACCTGCACCTGATGAGATCCTACTTCACTAGTCTAATCTGTGATTATCTGGGTGGGGAGAAAGGCGGGGAGCAGAAATAAGTAAGCCAGTTGGGAAGTATATCAGAAACATTGAGATGTGGTGCATTGTCTCAGTTATCATGATGGGAAACTAAAAATTCACTGTTTAGTGGTATTGAAGCTTTTAATGCAGGGTTACTGATGTCTAATCTGCTTTGGGGAAGGGCAAACGCCCAACAAAAGTTCAGGCTTTTTCCCTCTTTCCTGCCTCCAAGGATCAAGAGCTGTGAAACTCTTTACTTAAACAACCATGGAAATTATATTTAGTACTAGAGAAGCAGAATCCATGAAGTCAAGTTAACAGTTATTGCTGTAATCCTGTGCAGCTCTCCAAGTAGGAGTTGCTCCCTCATGGAGCACCAAAACCAGCTGCGCCAGCACAGAATTTTCCATACCACTGAGTATGGAAACTAGGTGTGCTAGGTATAGTAATGTACCTGTGGCAGCCACGGTCATGGGTGTTGGGCCGAAGATGAATAGGGCTCTTGCAATTTGCTTCAGTAAGGACAGTAGAGAACCTGTGCAGAGAACAAATACAGTGGGAGTGTGAGATGCTGATCCCAAAGGGACCTGTAACACTTTGCAGGTGAATCCTCCTGCCTCTGTGGGTGGTGATGTCCAAGAGCAAAGAAGTGGCTGTCAGGGAGATGCAGAAGACAATAATGCTGGGATTTGGCTTTGACAGCAAGGCCTGTGCTCCAGGAGCTGATGAGGTCAACCAAGGATTTGTCTACAGCGCAGGCACTGGCTTTCTCCACGATGTGAAATCGTTCACTGGCACATGGAGTGTTTTGTGGTTTTCCTGATGGAAAGGTTGAGTTCTGTTTTCCAGCACTTCCCAGCAGTTTGTTTCTGTCACTATTAATGTAAATAACAAGATAGCCAATTACTTCACTTACTTTCAGTAAGAATATACCTATATAGAATTTTTGTATATTGTTTCTCCTTTTCTAACACTTAAGTCAATGATAGTTTCATCTGGATAGTGCATGATGATACTGTTGCTTCACAAGAGCTTTTACATGGAATATCAGTTTGGATGGTGCTCTCCACTTTACTGTTTAGGAAGGTGTCATGCTGTCTCTAAACCATGAGTAAAGTGTTTGTTTTCATTCCAGGTGAATAAGTGGCAAATTTTTTGTTCTGCATTGTTAGTGAGAATGTCTGCTTTATATTGCAGAGGATTCTGTTGTTTGCGTGTTTACTGCTGCTCTGGAATTCTGTATTGGAAAAAAGTGGGACACCTTTGGGTGCCTCGCAGAGGGAGCTAATGAGGACAAGGCATGTAGAGAAACAAGGTTTATTGGAGAGTGGCTAGCCATCCTTTTCCAAAGATGTCTTTAGCCCTTATCAGTGCTATACAGAAATTTCTCCCACTCATTGAAACTTAGGGCAGTGCAACTGCTGCAGGGTGCCTGAAAGCCACGTGAGTTTCAGTCACGGCTGACCTGAGCTGCTCCTAGACTGCATGTTGATCAAATTTTGTTGTTTAAAAGGCCTGCAGGGCCAAAGCCTGTTAGCTCTTAGGGCAGGTAGAGCATGGAAGGCATCCTCTGCAATAGTCTAGACTAAGCTGCACTTAAATTGGTGATCTGTTGTTAAAAGACATCCTGTTTCGTTGTCTGCTTTTTGTCCTTGTCACTCAGAGATTGGAATGGTTTTAGATGTGCTGTGTTTTCTTCTGCTTCGCTTTCCTCTTCTCTAGTTAGAACTCAAATGCAAACTCTGAGCAATTGGTGTAGAAAGAAAGGGTTAGAAGTGGAGCCTATTACTCTTGCCTTTCCTTATTCAGTGATGGTGGAGAGCCTTCCAGAATGTCTCTATGACTGTAGTCATTCTATTGCAATTTGTGAATTAAGACTGTTTGCAAAAAGCCTGTCCGTAGGTTGGATCCTTACTGCTCTTTAAATTTTACCACATCATCTGTGTCTGTCTCAGCTTTAGCAGAGGTCTGTTTCTTACAGGTCACCAGCTGTCAAATGGAGGCTTTTTTAGCTCGCTCCATTTGTGACTAATTTTGAAATAAATTGAGGTGTTTGGTTTTTCATTAGAGGATGTGATTATTGGTGGTTTCAGAAGGAGAGAAAAGAATTGGTAGTAAGAAAGGTACGTTTGCAGGGCACAGAGGTATAGACGTGCTTTGGTTGCTGTTTACCCTATTAATTTTGAAAGACTTTTTTAAACAGAGTATAAAGTTTGCCACTAAAGGTAATTTTAAATGTAGCTTTTAAAAGGTAAAACTATTACTTGGGGAGCGTGATGACTCTATATATGATTTTTCTCAATCCTTTTTTCTGCCCTTAAACATCTCGACACAAAAAAGCTCCGAAAACCTACTATGCTGTCAAAAGGTTGAACAAGTGTCGCCTGCTACTCATAGGAATTGTGTAATGTTAAAGAAACTGTCAGATGGTGGAAGGTGACAAAAAAGCTGGAGTTTTGCTGCTGTTTCATGTCACAAAGGGATCTTTTGAAAAGTGAAAAGGAGCATTTTGTGGTGAAGGAGTCACTTGGTTTTCTGACCAATGAGTCTTTTGGCTCTAAGTACAGCTTGCCCAGGTCATGAGGTTTAGCCCCATCTATTCTGAATGAAGAGCTCCAGGTATCACACTTTCTCCCCAGTGGCAGTTTTACTGTTGCCTCCAAAGAAGCAGCATCAATAACTTCTGCTTTTAGAGGCAAGCAGCTTGGACACAGCCTCCTTTTACTTTGCAAATGTTTGCTATGGAAACTTGAAGCAAAGCTAAGAAGAACTTTCTGACTGAAATGACAGGTTTGGGGTTTGCCTATTGACCTGGCAGTGCCTTTGACAGGAATTAGTGCAGGCAGGGTTATTACAGGCTGAACAGACAGTTCTTACCTGCTTTTGTGTTTTGAGATCTACAGAAAGAAAACCACGAACTCTGTAAGAATGAAAAGTGTTACTTCTGGACTTGTGTTTCAGATGGGATGACTGAGAAAGAAAAGAGACTGTAGTTTTCCTAGAAGATCCTAATATAAGCATTTGAAATACAGGTCTCTGCCATCACCTGCTGTCTACCTGTGCTCTGATATTTCATCACTCTTTTTTCGGCATGCTAGCATTTGCGTGAGCTGCTGTTGTGATGAAGCCTCATGCAGATGGAAAGCTGCAGCCATTAAATAAAGGCTACCTCTTGAGGCAAGGGCATACAAGAAAGAGTGTAACTGTAGCATTAAGATAATTCAGATCTTATAAAACATACTGTGAATAACGCTGCTGAACTCTGTCAATTTCCAGACCTGGGCTGGCAGGGAACACTGACATAAGAGATGCTGGGTTTTCAAGTGTTTCACCTAGAGATAAGGGTGTTCATCAGGCGCTTACACAGACCTCTGGGCAGAATTTTCTTCTCTGTGCTTTTAAATGTAAAAACTACAGAAATTTAGTTTCCGTAGGCCACTTCCTGAAATTGCAGAGCAATCTCAACAACTTGATACCATCTTGTGAATCTGATTCAAACTAAAATAAGCTTGGAGAATTAGATGCACACAAGCCTGTTGTGTGGAGTGTGGGGGCAGGACAGAAGGAGCTGCACTGGCTCTCCCAGCAGAGTGAGCCGTCTTTGCTCTGTACCTCTGGGCTTGGCTTGATTAATACATTAAATGTCACAAAACTGGAAATTATGTTCATGGATATGTGTTCTGTAGCATGATTAATTGATTAGCTGGGGAAGGTCTCTCTGATGTATCCTGTTCTTATACCCTAATCATATTTGTAAATCTAGTGTAGTGTTGGAGTCGACTGTCAAATTCAAGGTCAATTTGAGAGAAAGTATGTGACTAGAAACTGCAAAAGGAAGAGTGGGGTTGAAGTGAAGGAGTGAAAGAACAGATCCCACAGTGAATCACACCGTTATTTGGCCCTGGATCTCCTTAGGTATTCTAAATACCAAACTGTGTCAGCAGGTGAATTTGATATTAGAAAGAAAATATAAGGCTAGCTGAAATAGCTTTTCCTTTGTTCTCTTCTACCTTTACAATATAATTTTTATCCAGTCTTGTGTTTCTATTAGTTCTGTTACTGTGAAGAATATTCTTAAGGTTAACAGTAAATTGTAATTACAGCTGGTCTCTCACATACATCTATATATTAAGTGTCCTCACCATAACATTCAGTTAGATAAGACATGAATAATAGTTGAAAGAAAAGGATGGAAGACAAGTGAGTAATGTGAATCAGGAAGACGATGCTGTTGGGATGTTCTTAATTGCAGTTGTAATCACTG